GCCTGGGACCCTCCCAAACCGGCGGCAGCCTCGCCACCTGCCGTGCTTAGCAGCCAGTGCATTCTGCCTTTGACGTTGGGGCTATGGGGCTGTCACTAGTCATGTTTGTCTCCAAGTGGCCTTCGTCTTGGAGAAGGTTCAGAAACCAGATGGCACCATCGTCACTACCCAAGGCCTGGAGGGAGCCCCATCCCGCCCCAGCACTCGAGGCCACCCCGCCCTCCCGGGGGTCCAGCCAGCCCGAGAATGCGGCCACGACCCCCGCCTACGAGACACAGCTAATTGCAGATTAGAACTGGCTGATTCTTCCTTTCTCCAGCTGTCCTCGGCCTGGTTTGTCATAGCTGTCTGCTGGAATGCCAGTTGCACAAATACATATGTTAGGGCCTTTGATCTCTGGGTACAATGACATGGATTTATCAAATGTTTGCCTCTTTCTGCCTCTTTGACAAAGGCTGATTTATTGGACGCAGCCCTTGCCTCCCTTCCATTCTTGAAATATGAAGTGTTTGCGAATAGCCAAGGTAATATTTAATATCCTGCCAGCGAGCCTCTTGCACTTGCTAACAAATGAACTACATCCCTGCCAAATGGCCCACATCTGTTTGGGCTCCTCTTCTTGACTGAACACATTAGCATGAAAATACCTTGTGGAGAGTGCCAAGCGGCCCTTTCTAGATGAGGGAGCAGGGACAATTCCGAGGAAGAGGACCACTGCCCGGGCAGCAGGAGCCTGGCTTGCGGCAGATGTTCGCTTCCTGGAGTGTCTGGCGGGGGCTGGTCTCCAGCAGGCTCGGGCCGGGGGCACTCGGTGTCCTGCCCTCCGCTGCCCACAGGAACTCAGGCTGTGGCGCAACTGTGACAGCCAGACTTGGCCAGCTCATTTCTGGCTCTTCAATCCAGACTGTTTCCCCCAGACCATCCCTTAGACCGTGGACGTGGCTTCCAAGCAACACTTTACTTCGAGAAGAAAGCTGCCGGAGGTCAAAGGTGCTGATTCGGGTGCTCTTGAGGGGGGTTGGCGTAGCCTTGACCATGCTCCGTCTTCCCTGAACATGACACTGGCTTCGGAAATCCCAGGGGCTGGTCGATTCGGTTTAAGGGGCAGGTGGCAACATGTCCTGGGTTGTCGTGTCAGTGGTGCTCTAAAGGGCTGACCTTAATCCGGGCCTGTACATCAACGTGGTCTCTACAATGAGGTGGGACCACTGACACGAAATGGCCAGGACAGCCTGCAGGGCAAACCCTTCGGCCTCCCCCTTGGCTGGGGGGGGGAGAGCCCGAGGGTACACAGAGCAGCTGGCCCCACTCCTCTCCAAGGCCTTGGGGGCCGGCCACTTCCTCAGAGCTCCTGACCCCAGATTCTCTCCCAGGACCAAAATCCACTCTCTTCCCACCAAACTTCCCAAATCTTGGTCTCAGGAAGGGGTGACTGCCTCCCGCACAGGGGCTCTGATTGACTCGAGCCAGGTTGAGTAACAGTGGAAAAAACCCAAACCAGGCCAATTAGGGCCTGTCTCAATCCCAAGACTTCCTTTCTCACTAGGTTTCAATAAGAGGCTTTTCAGCCTGCCAGTCCCCCACCCCGGAGGCAGCTACAGTTACCAGCTTTTTTGTATTTTCTTCTAGAGAGTTTAGTGCTGAGGGCAGGAATGTTTGACTGTTTTGTTCACTGCTACACTCCCAGACCCCGGAACAGTACCTGGCCCAAGGTAGGTAAATATATGTAAATAAAGCAATGGATAATTGCTTACGGGTTCTTGGCATCTTAAGAGGAAAGAGTTTGCCAAGAGTGGTGCCAAAAAGAGGGGCAGAGAGCAGCCTGCCCCCTGGATCAAGCCATGCCTGAAGCCAGCCTGCTTCTTCCCCTTCCCACTAGCAACCACACATTCCTTCTTTTCATGAAGCCATTTCCAGTGGGGTTCCTGTCACCTGCGAATTGTTACAGGAAGGTTGGTTCACAGTTAGCTCAGGAGGAGCACTGCTATAAGGTTAGCTGTATACAGTCAGACCAGTGGGTTTAACAGGGAAGAGTGTTTCTCTTAGTCTGATTCTAGGTACATTATTTATATTTTAGAGGTGAGCAAAATGGCAGTGTGAGGGGTCTGACCGTCAGCCACAATTTGGGTCAGCTTTGAGGTGAACAATCCCATTCTGCCTATTTGTAAAATGGATTCGGATCCTCCGACTGAATAGGCTGGTGGGGAGAAGGAGGGAGGAGGGAGGGGGCAGTTCCTGCCTCAGGAAGCTTCCAGGCAGAGGAGCCTGGCCGGGAGGCCCTGGGCCCGCTGCTAGCCCGAAGGCAGCGCGGCGCGTCCTCAGCAAGCTGGCTCCTCGCCGCAGCGGCGCGCAGCAGGGACTGCGGCCGGGACTGGCCAGGAGCTTTCCTCAAATGCAGGCAGTGGGGACGTTCTGGCCGAGGCCCAGGTGGCCGGGGGTCTGCAGCCTTGGGAAAGGCAGGATTCTGCGGGCGCGAGGGGTGGGGCAGGCAGCAGCTACGAAGTCAGCCAGACCTGGTTCCTCCGCTACTCTCTTCAGTCTCATCCTCCCGCCCGCCTGGCTCCCCGGCCCCAGCCGTGCAGGACTGCGTGGGCTTCCAGGACACACCAGGCCCCTCGCTCGGGCCTTTGCTCCCCTGCTCACTCTGCCTACAGTGGCTTCTCCCCTCCACCGCCCTCCCACCACGTTCGGCCTGATGACCAACAGCCTGAATTCCTTCCTTCCCACGGAGAAGCACAACTGAGGGGTGCATAGACACCGGAAAGAAAAGAGCTGGGCGCCGGGTTGCGTCTTCAGCCTGGCTCGAGTCCCCTCGGTGGACAGCGAAGCCTGTGGCCAGACCAGCCCCTCAACAGGTGGGGCCCACAGACAAGGTCCCAGAGAGTCCAACCAAGGGCGTGACAACAGGGATGGCAGAGAAGCGGGTGGCTAGAAGCACCCAGTGAAGCTGAGCAGAGCCCACCCTAGGAATAGCCAAGACACCACCCAAGGATTCTGGGCAAGAAACTGGAGGGTCCCTTATGCTCCCAAAGCCCCCTACTCCACTCCCGCTCCGAGAAGCCTCCAGAGAGCGCACTCCTGGGGTCAGGCTGTGTGACGGCCCATCTGCCCCCCACAAGGCCCACACAGAGCACCCAACAGTCGCTGGCCCGGAGGAGAACAGGATGAACGGCGGGAGGGGGAGGGCCTCCTCTCAGTGGAGGGGGCTTTGTTTGCTGCTCCCCATCTGTCTGTCTTCCCTGTGTGCTTGTGGAAGCCAAGAAGGGGAAGGGGAAGGGGTCTTGTCTGCGTCCACCTGCTGATTTCTCTGGATCTTCTGTCTTGGTCACCTCGCCTCTCTTTGGGTTACGGGGTTGGGATGGAGTCACTCAATCCAGCACTTTGCCTCCTCCGCTGTCACCCGGCCCCTCCCGCAGTCCCCAGCTCTGGCCCAGCTTCCCTTCAGTGACAGGAGCCCTCCCCCGGCAGCTCACAGCATGCCCCCTGGCGCCCGGCCAGGGAAAGACCGGTTCTGGCCAAGACCCTGGAAGCTGGTCCTTGCCCGCCCAGTGGGGGCCCGCCCACCCTCCTGACGTCTCCGCACTTGGGGGTCCATGTTTTCTTGGCTTCTACCTCTCAGGCAGCTCCCCAAGTTGTGAACCCGCAGGGGCTCCACTCACGTAAGCTACCTGGAGGCTCAATGCTGTCTCTGTGCCACACATCGCAGGTGGCGACTGAGCTCACACGTGGTGGGAATGAATCAAAACAATGACTTTAGTGGACGGTGGTTAGGAATGAAGAGGGAGATAGGCATTAGATTCTCTTCCCAGAGAACTCTGGCCAAGAATCCAACTTAATTTACTTGACTAAGAACTCTCCGCTACTAAGTTGAGCCAAGATAGCCCTGAAGACACAGGAAATTTGGAAAACGAAGACCGATGAATGAGTGAAACTTGGAAAAAGTGATAGTAACTAGTCTTGGCTCAATTCTGGCAATTTTCTTCACAAAGCAGGTAGAAAGATGCATCTGTCCCAATCTCTCGTACCTTCTCCTGCCACCTCCACCTCCCCTGCTGCCTGAAAGCCACCTGTTCATTCCTTCCATCACTGGGGGATCATGCGTCATGTGGTCATTCTCTGCTTTCTGTTCCAGGTGCCTGTGGACACAGCTTCTGCCTTACTGGTTTAGTCTAGTGGTGGTGGTGTCACCAGTGAATGGGCAAGAGAAATGCCTGTGTCACAACTGACATAAACAACCCATAGTTTTAAATTGTGCCTTGATCTGAGTATGCTGATGAAATCTCATGCTGTCCTGCTCCGCCCTGCCCCCTGCCCGAGAGCCACTTACTAGTCATCCTGGTTATCAGATCAACTGTCACAGTCGTGCCCTGCTTGTGCTCAACTCACCTTTACTTTACTGGATGGCTCCAATGCACAAGAGCAGTGATCCAGATAGGCCAAAGAGAAGTGCTCCTTTAAGGGGAAAGGTGAAAGTTTTCCACTTAATAAGGCACAGAAAGACAAATAGCACCTGTTCTCCCTTCTATGTGGAATCCAAAGCAATCAAACTCAAAGCAGAGCAGAATGGTGGATACAGTGGCTGGGGGCTGAGGGGTGTGGGAAGACGAAGGTCACAGGGTGCAAAGCCTCAATTAGATAGGAAGAACATGTTTCTGTCTTTGAGATATATTGTAGTGTGGTGAATACAGTAAATAATAATGTACTATACATTTCAAAAGTAGTAAATTTCAAATGTTCTCACCACAAAAAATAACTTCTTGAGGTGATGGATACATTCATTAGTTTGATTTGATTATTTCACATTGTATTCATGAATCATCACTTTGTACCTCATAAATATACACAACTATAATTTCTCAATTTAAAATTAAAAAAAAAATGAAAAAGAAAAGAAATGCCATGCGCTGTGCAGTCCTCTGCTAACTCTCGAAGGATCAAGCGCTCTCAGTTCCACCAGGGACTGTGCAACTTGGCACAAGATGATCAAATACGATAGCACAAAACTCCTTCCATACTCTTTTATTGTAGGAGGAAAACAGAATCAACACATTTTACAACTTTGAAGGCTGGAACAAGTTGTAGATGCTTTCTCCAGACATTCCTATGCCATGTTCCCTTCAGTGAATTACCTGGGGACAGCTAAGGAGGGAGATTTCAGATGGATCAGATGCTATCTGCAATGACTTTAGAAATTTTTGTGAGAATAGGCATATTGCCACAAGTGCTTAAATGCTGCTTAAACCCTTGAATGAATCCCTACAGAGCAGCAGTGCTCTGGGAGATGGAGTAATTAAAACATCCCGTCCAGCTGCAAGATGTTGGGCACATGGGACTCCACATGAACCTGTGGCAGTACTAAGGACTTAAAGAGCTACAGGTGACTAACTGTGGTTGGTACCCGAGGCCACACCTGGCTACAGGGCAATTCACAAGACTCCCAGAACCATGCTTCTGCCTTTTAAAGCCACTGGATGTGTGCAGGCTAATTTCTGAACCAGGATGGAAATGTGTGTTTCACTAAAGGGATGAGAACGGGAGCGCCGTGGGCCCGCCCAGCGCACTTGTTTCTAACCCCTTCTCGTGCAGCCCAGAGAACGCTGCAGTGAAGGAGCTGGCGAGCTACAGTAGTGACGAAGAGGTACAGTAATGGCTTCGCAGCCGGAGGGACTTCTGGTATTAAGTCTAGGGCTACCCTTCCAGAAAGAAATGCTTCAGACAGCACTTGTAGTTTCAAGTGAACTGCAAAGGTGCCTTGGATTCCCTGGTTTGGAAATGCTGACGGGTATTGGGGGTGGAGGCGGAAGGGGCTGGCAGTCCAGTCTGAGACCTCCCAGGCAGCCATCTGACATCTCCCTCCCCAGCGCCTGTGGCAGCCACCCCGGGCAGTTCACTGCTGCTTGAGGGAACGAGTGAGCGGCTGAGAACAGGCGGGGCGGGAGAGCCGGCTGGGGGCCCGGCCCACTCACAGGGGAGGGGCCTGGGCCACGCGTGCATTTCCCGGGACCAGGCCCGTCGGGACCTGAGCACACAGGCTACAGGCACCAGATCACCAGCGCTCCCCGTGTGGGCCACCCACTGCCACTCTGGCTGGCAGGTGGGGGGGAGGTGTGCACATGTACATCCACAAGAGGAAAACGGGGGAAAGAGAGGGCTGGTTGGAGAAAGAGACGTATAAAAACCCTCAAACAGAGGTTGCTGTGAGCTAGGCTGACGCCACGGCACTCTAGCCCGGGCAACAGAGTGAGACTGTCTCAAACAAACAAACAAAAAACCAAAAAACAAAAAAAGCCCTCAAACAAAAAAAACCAGTCTTTGTATTTATCAATTGAGCCAGCCCATCTCTTATTTGGGGAGTATTTTGGGTATTGTTAAAAACAATTGTCCCGTCATCACAGCACCGAATTACTCTACCACCTTGTACTAAAACCAGCGACGTCTGTTTCCGGCTCTAGAGCCGCCGCTCCCTGCCCCGCCGCGCGCGCGTGCCCGGCGCCGTGGGCTGGCGGGGGCGCGCTCCCGCGCTTGCAGGTCAGCATGAGCAGCAGCAGCAGCGGCAGGTGCCACAGGCTGCAGAAGAACAGTCTCCGCGAGCTGGCGCGGTCCGCGTCCGCGTAGAAGCGGAAGCCGAGGTAGGCGATGTACAGGTTGAGCGGCAGCGCGACGAGCGGGAAGGTCCACGTGGTCACGTGCAGCAGCGGCGCGGCGGCCGACAGCGCGCCCAGGGCCAGGCAGTGGCGCAGCGCCACGCGCCGGCACAGCGCCGGGTGGGTGACCGACATCATGCAGTAGCCGCCGCGGGAGTAGTCCTCGCGCAGGCCCCAGCTCAGGGCGTTGAAGTGCGGGAACTGCCAGGAGTACAGGATTCCTCCCAGAAGAAACGCGCCTGCACCGAGGGTGGGGAGAGAGGGAAACAAAGGCAGGGGTCATCAGAGCTGTCCAGAGCCTGCCTGGCCTCTGAGGCGCGCGGAGACCTTCGCCACCCGTTGTCCTCCGCCTGCCCAGATCGCCCGGCTGTGGGATCCTCGGTCGCCACGGCTGGGGCCAGGAGCCTAGCATCCGCGGCTCCCGCCCACCGAGGCACCTCAGGCCTCCCAGTACCATGAGCCCTGCACACTCGCCAACACCTTTAGGGACTCCAGTGTGGAATTCAGTACTGTCTCTGGGTGAACTCTGTACCGGAGCTTTGAGCTCCATTCCGCACGCCAGCCCTGGGCGTGAGGTGCTTCTGCGAGGTGGCAGCGGGGTTGCGACTCCCGCACTCCACGCCCACGGGCCTCTCCTGTGAGCCACGGGCCCCTCCCAGGGACATCAGCAGCCCCGGCTCAGCACCCACACGGAGCTGGGTGCACCTGCAGGCCCGCGCCTGATGTGCTGGCTTCTCCTGTTCACCTGGCCCACCAGGGCGCCACCAGGGCGCCACCAGGGCTTCCAGGCTGTGCCTGGCACACTCCTCTCACAAGCCCACGCATGGCACGACCCCACGAGCAGGAAGTGCCTGTTAAATAAACAGAGTGAGCCAAGGAAAGGAACATGGTCCCGGGGTAGAATGGTAACTTGTCTATGGCTCTGTAATTTTTCAACAAGGACATAATTTCCTGAGCACCATTTAGCCCCTTCTCCAGAACAGGTTCCCACCACCTGTAAGAGTGGAACGAAGGCTGCCGTTTACCGAGCTCCTATTATGTGACAGATGCTCTCATACAGCTTGCCCATTTAATCTTCACTATAGGATTTTGAGGTAGGTTTTATAATCATTAAAAAAAGAGATCAGAAGATGGCAATTCCTCCTACAAAAATAGGTGGGGGAGGAATTTGACACCAGTCTGATTTTCAAGCCAGGCTACTTCTACTGTACTCACTGGGCCACCCCCCAAGGTCGGGCAGCAGAGTGGGGGCCGAGGGCAGGCCACACTGTCCCTGTGCAAGCGTTTCCTGCTCACACAAAAAATGTGGACAGAGCACCTATTCAGTGCTGAGCCAGTGCAGAGCTCACCCCCTAGCAAGGGGTGACATCACCCCAGGGCCACACTAGCGCATCTAACACCACCACTCAAAACGTGACGAAGGAAAAGTGCATGGTGCAGTGAGGACACACAACAGGAGGTGACCTAGTCTCAGCGACCAGAGAAGACCTCTCTGAGCTGAGCTCAAGGGAGAAGCGGCCTTGTCAAGTCAGGGCTGGAGCAGGAGAAAGTGTCCACAAAGGCCTTGGGGCAGGAAGGGGCAAGGTGTGGCCGAGTATTAGAAGATGAGTGCAATGTTAGGAGTCATAGAACCGTGTAGCAAAAGAAAAAAATGTCAACCTGACTATGAAAAATGAAAAGCGGAAGGTAGTGTGGCTGGAGTGCTGAACGACAGGGAACAGCGTTCAGGACAAGGCTGGGGAAGGGGGTGGGGGCCACACTCGGCCGGGCTTGCTATTCTAAAAGCAACAAAAGCCAGGAAAGGATCCTAATGCGCAAGAGTGTGTGCGCGCAGGGGCGGGGCGGGGCGGGGCGAGGGGCGGCAGTGTTGAGCGACTGGTGGGCGGAGAACACTCATGTGGGCCCACAGCAGGTGCGGGAGGATCAGGAGACGAAAGACTTGAAAGACGACAGTACTCAGGATCAGGGTGGCGACAGTGGGGATGGAAAGAGGACACACCTGAGCGGGATTTCGGAGGGAAAGGGAGAGGATGCCAGCGCAAGCGCAGGGTAGAGGAGAGGAAGTCTGGGAGGGATGGAGAGCAGCTCCCGGTTCCTGGGTCCAGGGAGACCTGTTCCCCGAGACGTGTGGGAAGGTGGGAGGGCGTGATGTGACCCCGGGCGCGTTCAGTCTAAGATGCTTTCGGGACATCAAGGGGAAAGTCTTGGAAAGGGCCCTGGCAGAGTGTGGGTGTGGGCCGGGGCCGGACTTCGCAGCGACTGATGCACGTCTATTCCTGAGTAGCCCCCGGTGTCCAGCAGACATTACCTGTGTGTCTGTGTTTCCTCTTTGAGTGGGAACCCAGGAGACTAGAATATACTCCTAGAAATATGCAGTCGTACTGTAGTAAAGGGTGCTCAAACTCGACAGGAGCCGACGCGTGAAGAGAACTGATTCACTAAACACGGTCCCCAAGATCACTGTTTCCCAGACGGCTCGTGTACCCGTAAGCAAAGCATCAGGGCTTTGCCTACCGTCTTCTTCCCTCCTCTGGACCTGTTCTGGGGGCTCTGACACCTAGCTGCCTGTTTCTTGGGGTCCCTGGCAGAGAACTGGGAGTTTACCAATCCACTGTGTCGCCTACCCTGGAAAGTGCCACCCTGCACAGTGGGAGAAGTTGAGAATTTGTAACCACGGTCCTGTTTCAGGGGGATCTTTTATGCCCCTGGTCTGTGGGGATGTTGAGAAAAAGACCAGGGCTATTGCTAAGGCAGAACTCACCAGGAGAGAAAGCAGTTTGCATAATGCAGAATACTCTGGAAAGTAAGTCTGGGGTTGTAGGGCGCCCAGGGGCCCCGTGTGCACATGAGAATCAGGAGTGGGTTCCTCCCTGACTCTCCTCCCTGTACTCTTCAATAGCGTGGGAGCAGAGTGGCGCTGGGACAGGCCGCAAGTTGTCTAAAAGACAGAATGGGACCTTTAATTCACGTTGTTCTGGGCAGAAACGTGCTCATTTCTGCGTTTCATTTGTCAGGCAGGGCAGCTGCAGCACGTCAAGGGGAGCCCGTGTGTCTGCGGAAGACTGAAGCGGGGTCAGTCACTTTCACACGCACGGACACTTTCCTGCAGGTTCCATAAGTCAGCACCTTCTCAGTCTTCCAGTACGGGAGGAAATACAACAAAGACCTGACGTTAGGTCCCTATTTCAGTAGGGTTGCTGTTACATCCTCCAAATTCATTTTTAACCTTATCTATAAATAACATACATACATATCTTCATGAATACATGAACTACACAGTTCATGTAAACATTTAAATTTTAATGCTAATAATAGAAGTGGTTATTATTTGTTGACTCTATTCACGTGGCAAACAGAGGATGGGTGTCTCCCACGCCAGGCACAATTCTGGGTGCTGGAAAAGTGGCCACAATCAAGACAAAGTCCTGCTTACAGTCGGGGCGGGCTGGACAGAGGCACCAGGAACAGTGCTGAGCACTCTGCAGAGAATCACAACAGGGCCTACGTGACGCAGGTGACCCGAGACTGAGCGCTGCTCAGGGAAGGACTTTCTGCGGGTGACACTTAAGCTGTGATCCAACTTGCTGCAAGCAGAACTCTGTCAGATCCCCACCACAGCGCCTGTAGGTTTCTGGGACAGCACGGAGGCCGAGCAAGGGAGGGAGAGTTGCAGGACGGGGCTGGCGAGGCACCTGGGGACCAGGATAAGGAGTGGGGACAGCAGGGGGAGAGCAGGCTGGGGGTCGAGGGACAGAGTGTGGCGGACGCTGATGCCTTTCACTCAGTGGGGAACAGCATGCAGAGACAGGGTGAGTGTGTTCATGGTGCAGACATGAGGAGTTTTATTTTTGGCCATTTTAAGTTTGAGAGCCTCTCAGACATCTCGGTTGGAATGCCCTGTCCTTGGCCAGGCACAGAGGAATTGTACACTCTTCCAGTCCTCACAGCAACCCTGACTATAGGTATTAAGACCCTGACCCTACAGATGGGAGTGAGGAATGAACTTGCTGGATAGTATTCAGCACTGCTGGCAAAGTATACCAGCACTTTCTTTTAGAAAGCTGTTGCCATTCACAGACTCAAATCAATACCATTCCCACACCAGTGGGCTGCTGGACAGAAGCTCAAATGCCAGTGGCGCTGAGTAGAGGAAGACTTGCTGAAAAAAATTGCAACAACACATATTCCAGTGCTTTAAAAAAAAGAGGTCTGTTTCAGTGACAAACAGATGATATTTTGTTGACAGTGAGTGCTCTGAGGGGATTAGGAAGGACAGAGGGAAGGTCAGAACACCCGGGTACAAGTAAAAGAGCTAACAGGGCGACAGAGTAGACAGACTTGTTCATATTCTGATGGATAAATAAAGTGATCTCTGGATTTTAAAGAGACTCATATAAGAGAAAGTGTGGTTACAGCCTCAGGGCAGAGGCCACCTGAGGCTTTGAGCAAAGTCTGTGGAGCAGATCCAAAGGGTCTGCAGACAGACGGACAGCCACACAGCACTGGGGACGCCAACAAGACCAAGAAACGTCTTGTCAAGAAAATCAACATCAGCGATAACTTGGAAATAGGGGAGGGGAAAAGATCTTCAGAGCTCGGTGTCTGCTTTGCTCTAGAAATGGCTGAGAAAGGGCAACCTCTACTGGAAAACCAAATTTAAAATGGTTAATATATCAGGCCCAAATGTGGAATCTTTCTTGTCTTCCTGGAAAGCTCTCCTTTTTGAATGCTAACCAGAGTACTTTGTTTTGTTCAATACACTTTTTAAGTTATGCTTCGACTTAAAATAACATAATTTAAAAAACCATTTTCATGAGAGTAGCATGCTGCTTTCTGCAAGAGGAAATTGGGTGTGGGCTTGGCTCATGTCACAAATGAAAGAGCTTTAGAAATCACAGCCTAGCCTTAACGGATTGTAATCAGAAAACCACCACCCACACACAGTTCTACTTGATAGGCTTCAACTGCCTCTCCTCCAATAAAAGATGTAAAACAAATTACTCTCTTCATCAAGATAAGGTGAACTAGTACAGGAAGACTTGAATTAGTCCTGGGGCTGTGCTAGAACACACCTTCCTTCCTTACAGGGTAAACATAAAACACTCATCTTACCAATTCAAAGGGCTCACCTTCCTTCCAGATAAGTGTTCCGTTCATCCCCCAGGCAGTCTATTTCCTGGGTCCTCCTTCTATGACAAAAAATCTTGACTGTGTGCCCACTATGGACAGGCACAGTCTC